CTTTCCGAAATCCAGTATGGCCACTTTAATAACTATCATCATCTATATGTATCAACTGTACAGCTGCAACGGAAAAAGAGTAGCACAAGTGATCGATAACCGGAGCGGACAAATGGCGAAACGCGGCGCTATTGTTCCGGAGCGCTCCGATAACGAGAGTACGAGGCGCGTTCAATATCTCAACGCGGGGGTGGCCAGCAGAAAATTGAGGGATAAGATATTCGAAATACGGGCTTTAGGATAGGCTGCTTTCTGTCGGCCACCCCCGCGTTGGCCGACATGGAACGTGACTGGCAATCTCGCTATCGACAAGCTCGGGAACAATAGCGCCTCGCGTCGTGATTTTGCCGCTCCGGTCGTCAGCCACTTGTGCTACTCTTTTTCCGTTGCAGCTGTACATCCATGCGAATGGCGGCCTTTTGGTGGTGGATACTGAAGAAAGAATTTGAAGACGGGCACCTATGCGGGGCTTGAACATCCCAGACATTAGTTCGTTGTCACCGTGACGAGACTTTTAAGCTTCCGTGAACTACGCATATAAGGGTGTAATGCCTATCCTCGGAACGCTCGGCTTCGGCACGCTCCAGACAGCTCATGCTCATGACAATAAAATGCGGTGAATGTTATGAAGAGTTTTACTAAACTAAGCGCCTTGTACACAGTGGTAGTTTCTTGACATCATCGAAAACGGAACAAGTAGAGAAATCCCTGTACAGCGAGTAACACCGTAAATTTTGTACATTTGTAACAAGGTGTTGAACTAGGCGAGTTGGTAAAAGTTTGACATGGTGGGTGAAACAGCTTCGAAAAACGAGGACGAAAGAGAGAGGGCCACCCGCGAAATCATCGAGGCTTTTTGTATTTCATGCCTCGGAGAAAGATGCGTGAGTGAGCCGTCGGTTGCCTTATGTGATAAGGAGCTGTCCTTTTTGCGCCAGACCATGACTGGCATATGGGTTGCGTCTATAGTCGGTAACAGGTCAAGAAGGAAGTGGAAGCTCCTCCCACCTTTTTCCATTTTAGCGGAGCGAACACTGGTGAGGAGGTCGCCTCTTCTCCAGTATTCACTCTGCTATAGTGGAAAGAGGTGGGAGGAGCTTCCACTTCCGTCTTCACCTGTCACCGACTATAGTGAACCTAATTTCATGACACGGGCCTCGTGGAGGGCGTATTGTTTGATTACACATTGTGTTTTCTGGTACTGACGTATGTGTTCTCTTTTCCCTTCCAAATAAAACCTTTTTGAGTTGCGAGTACAGCTGTTGTCCTGTCGTGTCTGTTCCTTTAATCGTCCTCGTTTTTTGAAGCCGTTACTCCCACCATTTCTTACAACGGCCATTGATGAATAAGTACTACATCTTATTGGCGACGTGCGCTATCGAAAGCGTCGCTGTGATCGGCCTTTCACGATTGGCCGAATGCTGACCATAACCTGAGCAAAATATTTCTCATTGACGGAACTAAGAGGAATGGAAGAACTTCAATTTTGACGGTGTTGGCAGCGTTGGTTTCAGAGCGCAATGATTTCAAGCTTCCACCCAAACACCACCGAACTTTTTGTTAGCGAAGTAATGACGTCACGAGAGGGAACCATTAGAGGGCTTTACCAGAACATCTCGCCGCTAATAGATGCCTCTGAATTTGTAAAAGAATCTACTATTTAAAAAAAAAAAGAAGGCCCTGTGTTCCTTTTCGCGCTCCATTTATTCCTATAACATAAGGCAATAAGTAATATGCTCCAGTATCAAAGAGGAACCCTCAATCATTATCATATATGAACTCATTTAGAAATGAAACCACCTTTTAATTTTCAGTTCATGTGCTAACAGATGTTGGAATCTGCTCCAAAAGCGTCAGTGACTGCTCCAAACCAATATTTTGCCTGCTACAAAAGGCCAAACGCCGCTTCCAACACCGATAGTGATCCGCCAGGCAAACATTACGGCTTTCCTCCTCGCCTCGATCCTCTGCTTTCCCGTGACGTCGATGCTCGTCAGACTTGACGTAAAATGCCACCTGCCAATTGGGCAGGAGATCGAACTATAGGGGGCGCTTTATCGAGGTTGTTGTCCCCACAGCCCGGTGTTTACTAACACAGCATAACAAAGAAATTGAACCTCGTCATGCACGGCCTGGACACGAGCGCTTCGCTCTGACCAATGCTGGCCTTCGAATCATCACCTTCGATATCGCTGATCAAAAACAAACAAGAAAATTCGGTTTGTTGCCCCCACAGTTGCAGCGTGCCGCTAGAGGCGTGACTGTTCGATCTCCTCCCCAAAAATGTTCCTGTTGCCAGTCCATCTGTTCTGCCGCACCCTCGTATCCTTCCCTTTCCCCGTTTTCGCGACTTGAAGAGCAGCGGAGGCCTTGAGCGATTAGGGAGTTTTCGTAGACCGCGCTGCCTCCTCCGCTAAGCGTTCCGCAACGATGAAGTTGATACTGCGCCTGCGCGCCGATAGCCTTGACTATGGAGTTCCCGCTATCGTAGCGGGTTGCGGAGGGCCTTGCGGGACGGCGAAAACGATCTACGAAAACTCCCTATTGACTCCGTCAACGGAGTGTGCGAGCGGCTGTCCGGAACCACGTGATGAGCATTCTCTAGGCCTCCGTGAGGGACGGAAGCGGGTTGTTGCCTTTCATATAGCAGAGAAGTGCCGCTGCGGTCTTGAAGTGTCCTGTTTGAACAGTCCTTTAGCGTCCCATTCCGTCCGTGCATCAAAAATGGTCCCAAAGTAGCAAC